TTTCTGCTTTATAACAAAATGAATCAGTTATACATATACAAGAACAAAGGTTTTTAATTTTGTTGAAGACCAAGTTATCTGTTTTTTCTTTTATGGATCATGCTTTTGATGTTGTATCTAAGAACTCTCCCTATCCCAGGGTTGCAAAGATTTTCTTCTATGTTTTCTTCCAAAAGTTTTGTAGCTTTACATTTTGTACTTCAATCTGTGATCTCTTTTGAGTTCATTTTTGTGTATGGGGTGTGATGTAGGGATCAAGGTTCATTTTTTTGCCTATGGATATCCAGTTTTTCTAGCACATTTGTTGAAGAGTATCCTTCTCACCTATATCAAAAATCAGTTAACTATATTTGTGAGGCTCTATTTCTGGTCTCTATTCTGTTCTATGTCTATTCTGATCTATATCTGGCATCAGCAACCTTTTTCTTTAAAGAACCAAATCATAAACATTTTAGGTTTTGCAGGCCAAAAAGCAAAAACCAAGGTATTATATAGGTACTTGTATAACAGGAAAGAAAATAAATTGCCATGAATTTTTTGGACAAAATTCAATATATAAAAATTGAGTATAATTTTTTGTAACACAGCTCTACTTAATAAGAAGAATGGAATTCTTTTTTGGGGACAGGGATAATTTGTGCTAAGATCACCAATGATTAATTTTGCTTAATTCGTGTTCAAAGTTAGTGCTTCCTGTCATCAAAATTGATTACAGGGCTTCCCTGGTGGCGCAGTGGTTGAGAGTCCACCTGCCGATGCAGGGGACACGGGTTCGTGCCCCGGTCCGGGAGGATCCCACATGCCGTGGAGCGGCTGGGCCCGTGAGCCATGGCCACTGAGCCTGCGCGTCCGGAGCCTGTGCTCCGCAGCGGGAGAGGCTACAGCAGTGGGAGGCCCGCGTACCGCAAAAAAAAAAACCAAAAAACTGATTACACATGTTCATCTATTGATGCATATCTGTAATGAAATTTCACATATTTTTATCTTTGAAAATGTCTTTTCGGGACTTCCCGGGTGGCTCAGTGGTTAAGAATCCACCTGAATGCAGGGGACACGGGTTCGATCCCTGGTCCAGGAAGATCCCACATGCCATGGAGCAACTAAGCCAGCGAGCCACAACTACTGAGCCCATGTACCACAACTACTGAAGCCCACGTGCATAGAACCCGTGCTCCGCAACAAGAGAAGCCACTGCAATGAGAAGCCCATGCACCGCAACGAAGAGTAGCCCCCGCTCGCCAAAACTAGAGAAAGCCCGCGCACAGCAGTGAAGACCCAACGCAGCCAAAGATAAAAAAATTAATTTATGAAAAAAAGAAAATGTCTTTTCACACGTGTGATTCATGTAGCAGTGGAAACACTGCAATTTGTAGAGTGCTGAAAAGCACTGCAAAGTGATGAGAGGGCCACATATTTTGTCATAACTACTTAGCTCTCCATTGTAGCACAAAAGCCACCAGAGACAATATGCAAACAAATGAGCCTGGCTATGTTCCAATAAAGCTTTATTTATGGGCACTGAAATCTGAGTTTCATATAATTTTCACTTGTCACAAAATATAAAAAAAAATTTTTTTTCAACCATTTAAAAAACATCTTTAGCTTAAGGACATACGAAAACAGGCAACAGGCTAGATTTGGCCTATGGGTTGTAGTTTGCCTATCCCATTTCCCCCATCTATGTTTCTGTCCTTTTGCCAATACCACATTATCAAGATTACTGTAGCTAAAAAGTTTTGAAATCAGGTAATATGAGTCCTCCAACTTTGTTCTTTTTTGAAATTGTTTCTGGCTATTTTAGCTTCTTTGCCTTTCCATGTACGTTTTAGAATCAGCTTGTTGATTTCTACAGAAAATCCTACTCGAATTTTGGTTAGAATTGCATTGAATCTGCAGAGCAGCTTGGGGAGAATTGACATCTTAACAACATGGAGAGAACTTGATATATTTCTCTGTTTAGGTCTTTGATATCTTCAGTCTTTTATAGTTTTCCGCATATAGATTTTAGATTTTGCACGTGTTTTGTTAGACTTATACCTAAGTATTTCATGATTTTTGGTCAGAGCTGTCTTTTTTAAATGCCAATTATATCATCTTGTTTCCCCTGTTTAAAACCCTTTGGTGGGTTCCTGCTGTTCTTAGGATAAACTCCATAATCTTTAAAAGCTTATAAAAGGCCCCACATGATCTGGACCCTGCTCTCTTTTTCAGCCTAATTTTATGCCATTCTTCTCCTTGCTCAAAATGTTTCAGTCTCAGACTAGCAGGAAATGGTTTTATCAACTAAGGGATATAGCTTTTTGAATATCTGAAAGAGTAAATAAATATTTTCAAACAGACACTTGAAAAATATATTTTTACTTTATTGAAAAAAGCCATTCAGTGGTCTCCAGCAAAGAGTGAACTTAGATTTTGGCCAAGTCATTGGGCTCTCTGTGTGGAATTCTTTGATCTTTGTCTGCACTTCATCCACTGAGGCAAAGTGCTCTATGAGTGTTGTTTACAAGGGGCGTAGCTCTGTATATATTAACTAAATAAAATGTTCTTTCCTTCCTTAAAAATGTGCTGAAACTTGGGTAAAGGCTGCGTTTCTGACCAAACCAAGGATCCTGTCACTGTCATTGTACAGGAATGAAGTTAAACTTTTCAGCTATTAAAATAGTTCTTACATGTACATGCCTACTGCCAGCTTTATGATAATATCCAAAGTGGAAATGTAAGACTGTAGTGGTGTTCTGTGGGAAGGTCTATAGCTATGTGCCTAAGAGAGAGACGAGAGAGAGAGAGAGAGAGAGAGAGAGAGAGAGACAGAGAGAGAGAGACAGAGAGAGAGAGACAGAGAGAGAGAGACAGAGAGAGACAGAGAGAGAGAGAGCCACGAGATTATTTTTTAAAGATAAGCCTCAAAACCAGCACATTTAATCAACCAGTGTTTATCCAGCTCCTTATGCTAGACATACAGAGATGAGTATGATATATCCCAGGCTTAAAGAAGCTCAAAAACTAGTGAGAAAACAGATAATTAAAAATGAAAGTGCTTGTTCATGGAGGTATGTCCAAGTGGCTTCGATGGTACCCAGGAGAAATGAGTGGCCCAGCGGCATTTAGAGTATGATAAGACTAGTTGATTTTTAATACATAAGGCTAGAAGGGAGGCAAGGACTATATCATGCAAACCTAAGGGGATTGTATTCCATCCTGTGACTCAGAGGTTCCATTACCTCAATGCACATAGAATTACCTGTAGTAAAAATCAGATTCCTGGACTTTTCCTTTAGAGATTGACTTGGGTGTTTCCCCAGGTGGTTCTTACCTATCTAGCAACCCCTATCTGACCTTTGGGAGCCAATGCGTTAGGTAATATTGAACCACAGAATAGTTAAGCTAGGTAATAGGATGATCATATTAGCATTTTAGAAAGGAAAATCTGATAGTAGTACAAAACAATGGAGTCAACCTGAGATTTCATTAAAATGCAAATTCTGATCCAGTAGGTCTGGGATTGGACCTAAGATACTACATTTCTTTTTTTTTCTTTTTTCTTTTTTTCAAATTTTTATTGGAGTATAGTTGATTTACAATGTTGTGTTAGTTTCAGGTGTACAGCAAAGTGATTCAGTTATACATATATTCATTCTTTTTCAGATTCTTTAAGGATCTTGAGGATAAACTGCAAGTCTAAGATAATACATTTCTAACAAGCTTCGAGATGAGGCTGATACTGCTTGTCTGAGGACCATAATTTGAGTAGCAAGGGTAGAGAGGTTGGATTGGAAAGGGGTGAGACTACAGGCATGGAGATCAGTTAGCAACCTACTGCAGGAATCTAGGCAAAAGATGGTGGGCATCTGAACTACTGGCAGTGTCTGGTAATGGAAAGGAGATCCAGTGAAATGTAATAGATGAAATTGGCAAGACTAGGGACTTCCCTGGTGGTCCAGTGGCTAAGACGCTGTGCTCCCAATGCATGGGGCCCAGGTTTGATCCCTGGTCAGGGAACTAGATGCCACAACTAAGAAGTCTGCACGCCGCAACTAAAAAAAGAGCCCACATGCCGCAACGAAGACCTGGCGCAGCCAAAATAAATATATAAATATAAATATAAATATATATATATATATATATTTATTTTTTTTTTTTTTTTGTGGTACGCGGGCCTCTCACTGTTGTGGCCTCTCCCATTGCAGAGCACAGGCTCTGGATGCGCAGGCTCCTCGGCCATGGCCCACGGGCCCAGCCGCTCCGCGGCATGTGGGATCTTCCCAGACCGGGGCACGAACCCGTGTCCCCTGCATCGGCAGGCGGACTCTCAACCACTGCGCCACCAGAGAAGCCCTAAATAAATATTTTTACGAAATATAAAAAAATTGGCAAGACTAATTTACAAAAGGGTTTAGGATGTGGCGTTAGAAGTGAGGGGAGGGGTGTCAAGAATGGTCTGAAGGTTGAAGCTTAGCTATGTGGGTGGATGGTAGTGACAGTAACTGAACTTGGATAAAGACAGAGGAAGAAGGTGGCCTGGAGGGTAGAGGAGGACTGGTTAGAGTACAGAAGTTCCTTAGAGTTGAGAAAAGAGGTGGACAGAAGATTAGTCCTGAATGCATTGTGTTTGAGGAGTCTATGAGATATCCAAATATAAAGGGTGGGCAGAAGAAGAGGAACCCACAATGGACCAAGAAGCTTCAGGTTGGAGGATAACAGAAAGAACGGTTTCAAAGACATTTCTGGGAGGGGAAGCTCACAGTATCATTGTCACAGAGACATCAAATGAAATGTTATACCTGGTTCAATGAGAGTGCATAAAATTATGGTTAAAAAACTAACATTCCAAAACTGCTCATTAGCCAAAGAGAGTTCATAAAGTGCCCAAATTAGTTTATCTCTCAATCTTTTATTTTAAGGAAAAGTTGGAGCCAGTATTTTCAAATTATTCGTCATGGTAAGCTTCACAGTACCTTTTCCATTCAGATTTTCTTCTTCTCTCCCCCTTCCCCCAACAGATTGATCACACTTACAAGAGCTGCTATGAAACATAGGGGAGGTGAAAACTAACAGATGAAAGTTTTGCCATGCACTGAAAGGAAAGCATTGTCTGTGAAGTTCTATTTTTAAAAATGTCTGCTTGTAATACCTTTACTGAACACGTTTGGAAACCTGGTGAATGCAAGAACTGCTTTAAACCTAAAAGCTTACATCAGCTCCCCCCAGACCCTGAGAAGGCACCCATCACCCATGGCAATAAAACTAATGCCAATCAGAGTAACAACCACAGAATCAGGAACACCGGAAATTTCAGGCCTCCTGTGGCTAAAAAACCCACTATAGCTGTGAAGCCCACTATGATGGTGGCAGATGGGCAAAGTATGTGTGGTGAGCTTAGTATCCAAGAACACTGTGAGAACAAACCTGTCATCATAGGATGGAACCGAAATAGGATGGCCTTGAATCAGAAACCACTTAATAATAATAATGAAGATGACATTGAAGGATTTAGCCATGTTCCTAAGCCTTATGGGAATAATGATAGTGCAAAGAAGATATCAAATAACAATAGTGGACTAACTGAGGTGTTAAAGGAGATAGCAGGCTTGGATACCACCCCTCAAATAAGAGGAAATGAAACAAACTCCAGAGAAACATTCTTAGGAAGAATAAATGATTGCTATAAACGATCACTGGAAAGAAAGCTTCCACCAAGTTGCATGATGGGCGGAATAAAGGATACTCAGGGCAAGCATGTTATTCTGAGTGGGAGCACAGAAGTGATCAGTAATGAAGGGGGTCGATTCTGTTACCCAGAGTTTTCTAGTGGCGAAGAGAGTGAGGAAGATGTGCTTTTGAGTAACATGGAGGAGGAGCACGAGAGCTGGGATGAGAGTGATGAAGAACTGCTGGCCATGGAGATTCGCATGAGAGGGCAACCTCGCTTTGCCAACTTTAGGGCAAACACTTTGTCTCCTGTTCGATTCTTTGTGGACAAAAAATGGAATACTGTCCCCCTGCGAAATAAATCTCTGCAAAGAATCTGTGCTGTAGACTATGATGACAGTTACGATGAAATCCTGAATGGTTATGAAGAGAATTCTGTGGTCTCCTATGGACCAGGAAGCATTCAGAGCATAGTGTCGTCTGACTCCACATCCCCAGATTCCTCTTTAACAGAAGAATCACGTTCTGAGACAGCCAGTAGTTTATCCCAGAAGATTTGTAATGTGGGAATAGCTCCTGGTAACCCGGGAGATTCTAAGGACATGAAGGAAAGTGAGCCCAATTATGAAAGCCTCTCTGGTAATAATCAGGAGAAGGACTCAGCACAAGCATCCAAAAGCTCAGTAAAAGTTCCAGAGACGCACAAAGCAGTCCTTGCTCTCCGATTGGAAGAGAAGGATGGCAAGATTGCCGTACAAACTGAGAAGCAAGAAAGTAAAGCCCCTACTGATATTACTGGGCAAGCAGTAACAATAAACCTCGTTCCTGTAGAAGAGCAAGCAAAGCCCTACCGAGTTGTGAATCTGGAACAGCCTTTGTGCAAGCCATATACTGTCGTGGATGTGTCAGCAGCCATGGCCAGTGAGCACCTCGAGGGCCCTATTAACAGTCCCAAGACGAAAAGCTCATCTTCTACTCCAAACTCTCCAGTGACATCACCCACACTGACATCAGGACAAATAAGTGCCCATTTCCAAAAATCCAGTGCAATCCGCTACCAGGAAGTATGGACTTCCAGTACCAGTCCACGACAAAAGATACCTAAGGTGGAATTAATTAGCGGTGGGACTGGACCAAATGTCCCTCCAAGGAAAAACTGTCACAAATCAGCACCTACTTCACCCACAGCTACAAACATTTCCTCCAAAACCATCCCTGTTAAGTCACCTAATTTGTCTGAAATAAAATTTAATAGTTATAACAATGCCGGTATGCCACCTTTTCCAATTATCATTCACGATGAGCCAACTTATGCTCGGAGTTCCAAAAATGCTATCAAAGTTCCCATTGTAATCAATCCAAATGCATATGACAATCTAGCCATTTACAAAAGTTTTCTCGGAACAAGTGGAGAACTTTCAGTGAAGGAAAAAACCACAAGTGTAATAAGCCATACTTATGAAGAAATAGAAACTGAAAGCAAAGTGTCTGATAATACCACTAGCAAAGCCACTGAATGTCCCCAAGCTAAAGGGTTTTTAAACAGCACAGAGCGTAAAAGGGGTTCAGTGGCTCAGAAGGTTCAGGAGTTTAACAGCTGTCTTAACAGAGGTCAGTCCTCACCACAGAGGAGCTACAGTTCCAGCCACAGCTCCCCGACAAAGCTCCAGAGAACCACTCAAGAGCCTGTGGCCAAAACAGAAAGCACTCAGGAGTCTCCGATAGTGAGCAGCAGCAGCGCCAGGGAGAAGGCAAGCACCGTGCTTTCTCAGATCGTGGCTTCTATCCAGCCCCCACAGTCTCCTCCAGAAATGCCCCAGTCTGGCCCTAAAGCTTGCAGTGTGGAAGAGCTTTATGCCATTCCTCCCGATGCCAGTGCTGCTAAGAGTACACCTAAGAGTACACCAGTCCGGCCCAAGTCTCTCTTCACATCCCAGCCCAGTGGTGAGGCTGAAGCACCTCAGACCACAGAAAGTCCTACCACCAAAGTACAGAAAGATCCACTCACAAAGCCAGTCACCACCCCTCCCTCCAAATTAGTGACTAACCCCCAAAGTGAGCCGCCACCCCCCTTTCCCCCACCACGCTCGACTTCCTCCCCTTACCATGCAAGTAACCTTTTGCAGAGGCATTTCACCAACTGGACCAAGCCAACTAGCCCTACCAGGTCAACGGAAGCTGAATCAGTTTTGCACTCTGAAGGCAGCAGGCGGGCCGCTGATGCAAAACCTAAACGCTGGATATCATTTAAAAGTTTCTTCCGCCGTCGGAAAACAGATGAAGAGGACGACAAAGAGAAAGACCGAGAGAAAGGGAAACTGGTGGGCCTGGACGGCACAGTCATCCACATGCTGCCCCCTCCTCCAGTTCAGCGCCATCACTGGTTCACAGAGGCAAAAGGAGAATCCAGCGAGAAGCCAGCCATCGTCTTCATGTACAGGTGTGACCCTGCCCAAGGCCAGCTCAGTGTGGATCAGGGCAAAGCCAGGGCAGAGCAGTCAGCAGTCACAGAGAAGGGTAGAGCAGAGGATGGGTTACTACAGGACTCAGAGAAGAAGAAAAGGAGTCATTCTTCTCCATCACAGATTCCTAAGAAAATTCTCAGGTATGTAAAATATACTGGCAGAATGTGGGAATTTTTTAAAACACATTTTCAGTTGCTAAGTTTTTTGCATCTTTAAGATTGTTGGAGAGCCATTTTTGTTTGTAAGTAGCACTCAGCGACCATCATCTATCTTTTCAACTGCATTTCAAGATTAGAATATTATTAAAGTGATCTTATTGCACTGAACAAGGTTTATGGCCCTGGATCTTTAGCTAAAGTAGCCTGCTGCATTCTGATAAATGCAGAGGGGCTTTAAAAGAAAAGCAAATCCATAATACTTTAAGAGCAATAAATAATTTGTTGCTTTGAACTGCTATGATAGTGTGAGGAAGAAACAGGATCAAATGAATAAATGGTGATACTATTCTTTCCTTCACTATAAATGAAATCAAACTCTTAACCATTTTTTTTTTTTTTGGGCTTTCACCAAGGTGTTATCTCTATCTCCATTATTTTTTTTAAGGGAATATTTGTTTTTTTTATTTCTGTCTCTTTCTGTCCTTATTTCATGTGTTGTGGAAAGGTGGGGGAAAGGGCAAGCAGTTTATAGTTTTTTAACATGTAGGTGAAATAAGAGAAGTTGGTTACTGAGATTGAGACCCAGTGATATAATTCTCAATCCAACTAGGCAAATTGTACACCCACACCAGTTCTCTGAGCATCAGTTTTCTTTAATACTTGAATAACTGTTTATTGATCACCTAGCCTGTATAAGGCACATTCCAAATATTTATCTCAAATCCTTGTAACAGCCCTACAAACTGAAAATTAGAGAAATTAGAATTGGCCAGATTCACACAGTTAGTAATTGTCAGAGGGAGAATTCAAACCTTGATCTGTCTCACTGTAAAACTGGTATTCTTCCTATAATGTTGCATTGTTAATGAACATAAAATCAAACAAAATTTTTATATTTTCACTTGTAATCATTCACATAAACATTTATGTTTAGGAAGCCTAAGTTTTTTCTTTCTCATTTGTATTTTAATCAAAATTAATGTACTGCCAATAAAAACAAGGAACTGTTATCCAAGTTTGTATTAACAAATGGGATGATTTCCTTATATCACCTGTCCTTTCTGTTCTTAGCAAAGATATGTCCTGAGCAGTCCATTCATCTGATTCTGAGTCTTCCTCCCTCTTGATTTACAGTGAGCCTTCTCTACCAGGCCTGGCTTCCTCCCAGCAAAGACAGAAAACTCTGATTCAGAGCAGATTCTCTCACCAGCTTTTCTTTAGAAAAGTGTAAATAAAAATGAACACTTAATGCCTTCACTTTTTCTAGCAAAATGCCAGGAAGTTTTATATATATTCTTTACTAAAATAAGCTTTTTACATACCCCCAACTAGTCAAACTGCTAACAAGTCTCTATTTTCCTTAAATCCATGTAATAACAAAGCAAGTAGAATAGTGGAATATATTTCTGGGTAGAATAGGCTTGTCATTGGTAGTTGAAAGTAGTGGTAATAAAGCACATGTATCGCAGGTTGCTGTTTTATATAGAAAATAAGCAATTTAAACAGCACATGGTTGGAGTCACCTATGACGGAATGGCAGATAGTTCTTGCAGATCAACAAATGGCTTTACTCCTCATTAAGTATGGCTGTGGTATGTTTATCCGCATCCTGTAAGGCAGAGTCAAGGAATAATTTGGCTCCTCTTCCGTGGAATGAGATTTCTCTACTTTGGCTGCGTGCCACTGTATATAGGCTTGAGGATAGCCTAGGTCCTTGGTATGGCAGACCTCTTACTATACAGCTTATATTTTCACAGATTTGCTTGTATATGGGCCAGTCGTATCTTCCAAAATTTATTAGTTCTTTATAGGTAACATCCATTTATCCAAATGATGCAGCACATTTGCCCCATTGGTTGTCAAATTTAACCATGCATCACAATAAATGGAGGGCTATTAAAACACAAATTGCTGGGCCCCGCCCCCAGAGTTTTTGATTCAATTGGTCTGAGTTGGGTCCTTTCTAACAAGTTCCCAGGTGATGATGCTGTTGCTAATCCTGGGGCCACACTTTGAGAACCACTGGTCTTCCCACCATTCTTAAGATAATGTACTGTAGTCTAAGTAAAGCAAATTTGAGGTATTAAGCTTTTTGTAGAGGCACACTGGAATTTTCACATTTCATAAGGTCCCAGACTAAGTAGAAAAAGAGGTATTAGCATCAAATAGGTTTTTTTTTTTAACTTTTTAAAACTTGAATACTCATGTTGAAAAATATACACCATTTGCTTTTCCAACAGTTACTTCATTTACTTGGATACACCATTAGTATTTACTTGAAGCATCTTTGAGAGGAAAAACATTACTGTCAAATGTCAACATTTATGTTTCCAGCTTGATGGCAGTGTAATCATTAAATTACCATCCCACGGCTGGGAACACATTGCTGGAAGAAATGAAAATGCCAGTTTTTCCATAAGTAAATGAAGATTCCAAATCTAAACGGTATATAATCAAAATGCCAGTTTTTCTATAAGTAAATGAAGATTCCAAATCTAAATGGTATATAAGGAATGAAAAATACTCTACTGAAGGCCAAACTCTAGGCTCTGAAAGATGAGGGACTTTGTAGAGTCTTGCATTATGAGATGAGATTGTTACGAAGTTCATTTATTTGCCTGTTCAGGTGACATAAATTGAATATCTTAACTGTGCTGTATATGTGCCATAGGGATAAATAGGGGGAAAGATTACCACACTGCCGAAATAGTGGGCTTGGGTTTGACTTCAGCTTCAGCTATCTATCTGGTCCTTCAGTGTACAGTGGCTGTAATGATACCTATCACATAGAATTGATTGAGGATATAATAAGAAAATATGTTAAAGACTTAGCACAGGGTCTGGCACATAGGGGGTGCTTGAAAATGATACTAACCCCTCTGCCCTCAATGTGATAAATGCTAAAACAACGTATGTTCAGAGTGGCACAGAAGCGCAAAAATCAGAAGGATTAAATCAGCTTAAAAGACATGAAATCAGGGCTTCCCTCGTGGCGCAGTGGTTGAGAGTCCGCCTGCCGATGCAGGGGACACGGGTTCGTGCCCCGGTCCGGGAAGATCCCACATGCCGCGGAGTGGCTGGGCCCGTGAGCCATGGTCGCTGAGCCTGCGTGTCCGGAGCCTGTGTTCCGCAACGGGAGAGGCCATGTTGTGAGGGGCCCGCGTACCGCTAAAAAAAAAAAAAGACATGAAATCAGCTTCTCAGAGATGAAATACAAACCAGATCTTAAAAGACAAATAAGATTTTGCCAGCAGGCTGAGGAAGACACTGTAGGCAAAAGGAACAATATATGCAGTCATAGATGATGATGACAGACAGAAGCAGGACCGGTGACTGGAAAAGGATAATGAATAGACCAGTGGTTCTTCAAATGTGGTCCATGCAAGGTCAAATAGTGACCATGTAAAAGTCACCATTTTCATAATAATACTAAGACATTATTTGTCTTTTTCACTGTGTTGACATTTGCACTGATGATGCAAAAACAATAATGGGTAAAACTACTTTTACCTGCACAAATCAAAACCATGGCACCATATGGTACTAGTAGCTTTAAAAAACAAACACCAGTTTCACTTAAGAATGTCCTTGATAAAGTACTAAATTTTATTAAATCTCAACCCTTGAATATATGTCTGTTTAAAAATTCTGTGTGATAAAATGAGAAGTACACAGGGAGTACTTACGCTGCATACCAAAGTATGGCTGTCTCAAGGAAAAACTCTTGTAAAAGAGTTTGAGTTTCAAAATTTGAATTACAAAGCTGAACCAGCACCTTTTTCATGGACCATCTTGAAAGAACAAGGGGCAGACCAGCTGTGGTTATACAGACCTGGGTGTTTGGCAGATATTTTCTTAATGAACATAGTGAGCCTATTACTTCAAGGAAAACAGCTGACAGTATTTGTTGTCAATAATAAAATTCACGCTTTCAAGCAAAATAAGAACTTTTGCAAACTTGTATCTGCTACCGTGACAGCTTCCTAATACTTAAACATTTTTTCTGATGAGATTGGTGGTGGCATTAGCAAAAAAGATTGTTAAAATTATATAATGAAATGTGTCAACATTTGGAAGATCCACATAACTCAGTGAACCGGTTATTTCCAAATGACCCCATGCAGGATGTTACAGAATTATGCATGAGTAAAAGATCCATTGAAACTGCAAGTTAGACCAAGGGATTTAATGTAATTGAGTACAAAAAGTTCATTGGTATGGTTTTAGATTCCATATTGCAAGTAACTTTTAAGAAACTACCACTTGCCAAGTTCTGATATAGTACCAAAGAAGAATATCCACGATTATCTAGAAGACTATAAATACTACCTTTCCCACCTACATATGTGGATGAGACCAGATCTGTTTCATATACTTTAACCAAAGCAACATATCACAGCAGATCAAATGCAGAGGCACATATGAGCATTCAGCTGTCTTCTATTAAGCCAGATATTAAATAGATTTGAAAAAAATATTATTTTGGTTAATATTTAAAGTGTTTACTATTTTTTAATGAATTAATTATTTTTTAATTTTTCAGTTTTAATTTCTAATGTAATAATGTCAATAGATATAATCCACATAAGCAAGAGCCCTTACAGTTCTCAATAATTTTTAAGAGAAAAAGTTTGAGAACTGCTGAGAAAGACTGAAGAGCCTTGCATGCTACATTGAAATGTTTGGCCCTTTATGTTATAGATTTTGTAGCAGAAACAGTTTTTAAGGATGAAAGTAGTGTGATTTTCTTTTTTAAATAAAATCTGTACTGGCAGAAGTATTAAAAATGAACTGGAAGGGCAAAATATTGGTGACAGGGATACCAGTCAAATTTTGGCTCAACAATGTATCCATAGGCATCATTTCCATCCGGCTAGTCTGGATCAAGAGAAATTAATTTAGTGGTTAGTCTGGTCTGTGACCAGGTGGGAATTTCTCCATTATCGTTTTTAAAAGCACTAGTTTACCTACCATCTCTACAA